CGGCCCCCCCGGCGCTCGGCACCCGCGGACCTGTCGGTGCGAGCCGTCGTAGTGCATGCGCTCGATCTTGTCGAGGCGCGCGTCGGCCCAGTAGATCTTCTTGGCGCGGTGGTCGAGCGTCAGCCCGTTGGGCATGAGGATGTCGGTCGCGACGACGGTCTGCAGCTCCAGGCCGCTGGTGTACGCGCGCTGGATGCAGGGCGACGACTCGTTCCAGTTGGTCCAGTACAGGCGGCTGCGGGCAAAGCGGCGGCTGGCGAGGGCCCTCGGGCGGCGCCGGGGCGGGCGCGACGACTCACTCGGTGCAGGGGTCCACGTCGATGCCGCGGGGCCTGGCGCCGGCCGGCAGCCGCACCACGGTGCGCACGCGCGGCCCGCGCCGGTCGGGCGGCGCCCGCTCCACGTCGGCCACGCGCGCGCCGCGCACCGCCGCCGCGCTGCTGCTGGTCCAGTACAGCCAGCCCGACGCGGCGCTGAACACCATGCCCTCCACCGCGCCCACCTCTGCGGCCGAGACAACGCGCGATGGGACTCACCACGACCTCCGCTACGGCCGGTTCAATTGCCGTCTGTATACGTGGTCGTTCTTTGCTTATTTCTTTTCTGATCACCAATTCTCAAACAAATCTAGGCGTCATCGATACGCGAACGTTTTGCTAATAAATTAGTGTAAAATCTTTATATATTTATCGGTAACGGACTGTTCGGCATACAATGTAGTGTTCTCCGTCGGACTGGCACTCCAATCGGTTTAGGGTTTCCAATTGGACTGCACTCCTGGTTGGACTGGGTCCGTGTCTGGCTGACTTACAAGAACGGTGCAACAAGGGACGATGAGTATCGGAGTTGTTTATTATAATTGCATACACAGCTTGACCTTATTTATATTGACAATGTTCGCGACCCGAGGAGACAGTTACTACAAAGTATTATCTTGTCTTTCTTCTTGGCGTTATGGCGTACTAGTGTTTTAGGCGATGGGCGAATTGTACTCCGAGCTTGAGCTTCCACCTAGCTGATACAAAGTTATGCAGTGATGTGAATCGGTACTGAGACCTCGGTATAAGGTTTACACAATGTGTAATCGGGGCTGCGCCGTGCTAAGCAAGAGACTTTACACTTAAGCTTATACAGCTGTGATGTGGATCACTACAAAGACCCGTAATCAGTAAAAGATCCCGTGCAGAGGTTCGGAACTGGTGACAGTCGCGCTCTGTCATTTTTGGAAAAGGATTAGGTAAAAAGTTTTTTGTTTTGGAGAACATCGACAAAGAAAAAGTTGGATTTTTGCTTGGAGTTTTTTTTTCGAGCGAAGCTTTTAATGTGCTAATTATTTTGAATGAGAGACGGCAGGATACCGGCCCCCTGAGTTTTCTCCGGATTTACATACCAACGCCTTGACTGAGGCGGGCCGCGTACGTAATATAGTGTAAACTGTCCTACGCGGAATTCATCGCAGTGAGCTCAACCTTTTTTCATTTAATCTGGTGCAACGACTTATTCTGGTGACAATTGACCCTCTTTTTAACCGACTTCAAAAAAAGGAGGAGGTTCTCAATTCGACTGTATGTTTTTTTTATATGTATGTTACGCGATAACTCCGGTATTTGTGAACCGACTTTCATGATTATTTTTTTCTTGGAAAGAGAGTACCTCCATAGTGATCCCTTTTCATTTTGAGGAAAATCATCTACCTCTAAGGGTGGTTGTTCACGCATGAAGATTCAATTTTATAAATAGCGCCTAAATTTTATAATAAGGAGCAATTATTTTAATGGTTGATTTTGCTATTCGCCAATTCAAGGCGTTTTCTCTCTCAATATACTTTGAGTAGTGAGAACCGATTTTTATTATCTCCTGTGTCAAGTCCTGTATAGTGGCGAACTAGGGGATATTTCAATATAACTTGGCAAATAGATGTAATTCCACGTACTTTTGAGGTCGGTGTTTTTAGTACTCTGTATGTACTGAAATTATGATATATCACCTTGTTTTTATACCACGTTTTAGTTCTAGTATCTCTCGCTACCCATTTCTGTTCAGTCTTCCATCACCTTCCTCCATTTCAAAATTCCAAAACTTAACACATCCTCTTGTGAATCTTGTCAATAAGTCATCCCCTTTGGTTCAACCTTTCGGCACTCATTCGCATCTTGGCGTTGCTGAATTTGTAAATACAGCAAAATTTTTCCTTTTAAATGTATTTTGCCATTTAATCGCCATTTCGATTTTCTTAATATACACTGTGCCTGTAATTTAGACACTTCAAAATTCCTTTTTCTGTTCGGTCCTAGGCACGGCTTCGATATAGTATGTTTTCTCACTCCTTTTTTTCAAAAATGACACTACAGGTGGGTTTACACTTAAACTGATCTGTGATTACATCTGTGATTTGGATCGGAATTGAGACCTCGGGGAGGGTTTACATAGTGTATGATCGGGACAGCGTACTGACCGAGTGCTTACTGGACGCCAGAATCTATTTAGAATCAGCGTCACAACCCATTCTAGGGTTTAGCTGTAGAGATCCTTTTGCATATGCCAAATCCACACACATGTCAGTATAGTTTTAAGTTATACATATATCGAGTGCTTAGGTTTTCGGGATTGTTGCACATAGCAAATGAAACTATTTTTCAGGGTTTATATTGTGTACGTCACGGTTGACCATGGGACCTATAAAGGGCCCGAAACGTTGGTTTGTTTGAAAAAACAAATATACGCAATTTTATTCAGGAAAAATAGTTTTATTTCTTAAGTTATACCATAAAATTTGTCGTTTTGTTTAAATGTTTGCTATGCTCTGTTTTGTGTTATTTATTTTATTATTTTTATTTGGGTAAGGCTCACAAAAAATGTACCATAACACACCGGAATCAGTAACACACCATAACACTCAGGAATTGTGTAACACACTGGAAAAAATGTTAAGGTTAATGCATATGGTGGCAATAAAACAATAGAATTAAAAAAAATGCGAATTATTTATTTATGTCACGTTAATATCACAACTTAAAAAACATTATTTATTTCTTAAAATGCTAAATAATTGTTCCGATAATGAGATCAAAATTTGTACTTAAATGGCTGATTTTGTTTTTGGTCTTCTCTTTTTTTATAAATTATATTCTACTCAAAAAAAAAACTTATCAATATTAGGTTCAGCTAAAAAGTATTCCTTTGGTCGTTCTGTGTTTTGTGTAATCTTAATCTGCTTAACAATTAAATCTTCAGTAACAGTATCTTCATCCTTAATTTTTTGAACCACAAACTTTAGCTCCGGTTTTTTACGGTTTTTAGAAACCGTATGGTAAAATGAGACTTTCCTTCTTTTTGAAAGGTATCTTGTAAGAATCCTATGTAGTACTTCCATGAGTTTCGTTGGTAATATCTTACTAGTACACTGTCTTTGAAAGATAGCCTCCATGTGTCGATATAAATTTTTGGTGTCACTTCTGAAACATTATTTGTAATCTCAAAGTTCTTTTCATCATTCTGTAGAGTCGTAGCAATAACAGATTGTTCAGCAAAATTAGTCTTGACTATTCCCTCTTTTTCATTACAAGAAATGTTTCCTCTTGTGTCTATATTAGTGTATATATTTGTTTCATCGTCGTAACTTGATTGTCCTATTTCTTTCTTCTCCAATTTACTTTTATCCAATGTTTTCTTTAAATCTTTAACGTTTTCTTGCACTTTCATTTCCATATCATCCAAGTAATCTTCGTCACTTGAAATGTGATAATCTTCATCGGAAGTATCATGCACAGACATCGTTCCGTCTTCGTCTGTACTGCTCTCTACATTCGCTTTAAGTTTCTTATTTCTTTTAGGGTGGACGTCTATTATTTTTCTTTTTTTAGAACTGTTCTTGTTTTTGTCATGGTATGGTTGGGAATTTTCTTTGGAACTTTTGCCCGCAATCTTTGTTTTGATGTCTATTTGTTTTAAATTAAAAGGTCCATAGCTGCTCAAATCAAAATAAGCATGGTTTTCTTCAGTGTTTTTGATGTCAGTTAGTATTGTCACAGGTGTTCTAGACGCAACAGATTTTTTACCAATGATTTTTAATGGTTTAAATAAGTCTGCAGGTTTCAGATTAAGACAGTTGCAAAAACCTGGTCTTTCATTTTTACTCTTTTGGCAGAAGCAGCTTAAATATCGGTAGAAAATACAATTGGCTGAACCGACATTATTAATAATCTGATGAATTTTCATAGTGTTTGGAACAGGTAAGAGTTCTACTGAATCACTCAGTATGTCATCATCAGGTATGAAAAAAAATTGAATTTTGGTTTCAGACGTTTGGAGAAATTCGAAGGCTGTTTGCGCGTCGGGAATATTTGAACCGTATGCGACAATTGAGTCTAATTTTCTTTTGATAGCTCCTCCAATGCCATCAGCGGCTCCTTTACCGTGTGCTGATTCAAAGAAGTTCCATGTGGAAAACGTAAAGCCCAATTCTTTCGTCAGTTTTGCGAAATAATAAAAGTTCTTTTTCTGACGGTATTGTACTGTTGGACCATCTGAATAGAAATGAATTCCGTCTACTTTCGGTAATTTTTTCTTGATCTCTTTAAGTACCGGTAAGAGATGTGCCCAAATTGCATTTGGTCCGTGATCTTTGTTTGGACTCAAACTTGCAAAAGATTGATGACCCTTTTTAGTATATAACATACCAGTGTGGAGACTGATCTGTTGTCTGGACCCATCAAAATGCATGGCTTGTATTTCAGTGCTTAATTTACAAGCATAATTCTCCGAGAAATCGATGTGTACAGCTACGGTGCGGTCATCTAAATTGTCTTTGCACTGGCGGTACTGTTTGTATTGATGCAAGATATTATATGAATGTATTTTAAAATTTCGCAACTCCTCTTGAAAGCCGTCTATTAGCATTTTTAGCGAACCAGTTTTTGTTTCCATGTCGTTTTTCTTCGTAGTCTTTATCACATTGCAATTTTTTTTTGGTTGGTATTCATAAGATTTTAAAACCCATTCATCCCATGAAACATTATCATTTAAACTTTTTTCACCCATACAGAAGTCAATATGTTTATTTTTACACAAACCACATTCTCCGTAAGCGCATTCCTTCGATTTTGAAGAACATACTACCATACTCAGTAATTCGTCAAGATCTGTTGTTGCTATTAACCCAATTGATTTTAATGCCGTGGCTTTCTTTAGCAAATTTTCATGTCTCTTGCATGCGCAAGTTTCTCGCTTTTCGGCTTTAGGTGACAATATGTAAAAGGGCCTGTACCTTTTGAATGTTGAAAATGATAATTTTCCACCTTCTTCTCTATATTTCTTGTATAGTTTACGTAGAGGGCCAAGCAAATACCTTCTCTGTTTCTTTATCTTTTTTTGTGTTTTTACTTCGTTCTTCCCTGCTGTCATCCTACTTACATCATCCCTTTCATAAAAATTTTTTAGCATTTTCTGTATAAGTGAGCTTTTATTTTTCTGTTTAGTGTGGCG